GTAAGTGGAATGCCGAGATAGAGATGTGAACAAACCGGGGCTGTCATTCGTAGGTATGTATCTAACTTTACCTTGGTGTACTTGAACTTGAAGATACTGCGAGACTACATTTGAAGCCTCTCTTCCCTATGGCGCGGCGGTTCCCTGTGAACCACGTATGTTGGCTCTCCCCCATACTTGGACTCGGGTGAGAGAAGCGGTATTTTCACATTCGCCGAGCCAGCAATAATTAAATAGGTACCTACCTAGGGCCGGGTGCGGCGCTTGCAAGGCCTGGAAAAACGAGCGATCTAGCCGTCGCCAGGCATGATCGCCATCAAGGTAGATCTACACTGCCGAGGCAGATGTAACCGCTGGGCGCGTCTTGTCCCTCGCCACGACCATTATACACTATCCTTGCACAAGTACCTGGAGATATCCGTCTGATAACTTTCTGCTAAATTGATAGACAGACCGGAGTAATTAATTGGTCTTATCAAGCCTGCAAGGGGCAAGACTGGCCTGACCGTGCAACTATCCCATCAGTTACACATCCTGGGGTTAGGGTTAAGTATGTGGCGGCGAGTGACGCATCACCCCTTTCCTTCTTCGAGTTTCCACTTTTGTCTCTTTTCGCCTGCGAGTCCGCGACTTTGCTCTCCCCCTTTCGAGAGGTGATAAGAAGTAGCCGCGAAGTCTCACTTGTCTCAATCATGTTGGTGGAAGGTTTTGGCGACAGCGGGGTAATTTACCAGACCACCATTGAGGCGATGCGTCCGACTGCCAGTGAGATCTGATGACCACCACTAATTCTGTGTGTCTGATGGAGGCGAGGAACTCGGATCGTCCCGGCCCTTTCTCCACATCTTTTTATTGTCGCCACGCGTTCGGTGTGCAGGTGTGCATCATGCTATTCCACAAATTTATTGGATGGTTTTGGGGGTTTGGGGCTTTCCCACTTTATTTTGTTCCACCCCACGCGGGAATGGGTTTATGTGTTCAGAGGATTGGGGTTTATCTGATGAATCGCCTGGTGGTAGTTTTCTGGGGTTGGAGTACACTTAATACACGTACTTGGTGTGTGGAACTAGATGACGTATCTCCCAGCACTAGTTTAAGTTTATGACATAGAGGCATTGCATAGTGTATAGTAGTGATGATTAACAGACAACAAGTATTAGTCTTTTTAGCTATTGCGTTAAACCTTATACCTCAAAACTAATAATAGTATATATACTAGTAGTAGATCTTCAGCGCAATATCCAGCAGATAATCGGCCATCCTATGTACCTTAACATAGCAAATGGATACACACAGGCAACCTGTGCTGCAAAGTTCCGTGTTGTCTCTCGATGTTTGATGCTGGATCCGCTGCAGGCACTGGGAATCGCAATGCTCTAAGTCGAGCCTTCACCGGCGTCAAACCGCCAAGTGCACATGCGTGAATGCTGAGAAATCTTGCATTATTAATTCGTTCTCTGAGAACTTCATTAACAGATACTTGGACCTATTGATTAATAGCTCAAGGGCTTCTTTCTCTATCGCCGTCCTCTAGCTTAAGCATGGCACTTGGCTTTTGAAGTCTATTTCTCCCGACAGACTCGTGCTATAATTAGAGCTCAAGTTCCAATCACGAGTCCAGGATCCCACCCTGGGGGTCATCCAGTCCATAGGTCGTTATTATGAATTCATTTTGTTGGCATTTAACTAGGTACCTCGTTCAGCAGCCGGGAATGACCCTGTATTGGCATTGCAAAAAGGGCACCGTCATCTGGCAGTGAAGCCTCGTACCGCCGGTCCACCCGTCAAGATTTCTGCGTTCATGTATATGTCGGAGCTTTTGCATCACTGTCCGGATATGGAGGCTCTCCCCCTTTCTGAAGATGGCTGTTCCACTACATGTACTGGCAAGCCATGTCTGTTTACACACACCACGCATCAAAATCTGGCCATCACTGCAGGGAATTGACAAAGCAGGACCCAACCACTGTTGTCAGCTAATCACCCAGATTTGTGCATTAGTATTGCGACCACCATGAGCTTGGAACGATGTAATAGCCGGTATCAGCGAGGAATGGCCTAGTAAATGTTTCACACCGCATAGCAGCAACTGTCATTAACTGGAGCTAAGTCTTGGATGGTTCTCATTACCTCTCATGTCTAAAACAACACATCACATAATAACACCGAAACCACAAACACCAAACAAATTTCCCCACTCCATCATAGGTGCCAGGTACCCATCAGATCCCCAAGCCCCCCCCGGCGGCCCTACGAGCCTGCTGCAACCTTCTTCCCCTGCTGTATCTTCTCCCTCCACGCCTTCAGCACAGCATCAGGCACCTCCTCGTCCCCACCAGTGAACCCATGGCTAACCTGCGGCCGCTCACCCGTGTTGTCGTCACAATAGTCTTCCCCCTTCAAGTTCCCAAACTGCCTCCACTTCTTCCCCTTCCCATTCCCATTCCAGCCCGCCTGTGCCTGTCCCTGTCTGCCTCCCTGTCCAAGCCATCGATCAAAACCACCAGGTCTCCCGACCGTCCTCTTCTGCGCCTTGAGCCGCGCCAACACAGCCATGTGGTCGCCGAGCTCGTCGCGCAGCCTCTGCGCCTCGGCCGCGTAGTACCGACGGCGGTCCTCGGCTTGGTTGCGCTGGATCTGAGTGGCGCCGATGCGGGCGTAGACTGCGTCGATTTGGGCTTGGATTGTGGCTTTGCGGGCTGTGGAGGGGTGTTGGGGGTGTACTTGGGGATGGGGATGGGGGTGGTAGTAAGCCGGGATGTACTGGGGAGGGTACATTTGCATCGTGGACTGGTAGTTGGGGAGAGGGGGGTGGATGTAGCCTTGGTCTTGAGGGACGAAGGGGGGGTGTTGGTGGTGTGCGTTGTCGCTGGTGTGGTGGTCGTGAGATGGAGCTATGCCGAGCTGCCGCTTTAAAGAGAGCGTGGCCTCGATTGCTGCAGCTGTCTGCTGGTAGGCTTCCTCGGCTGCTGCGGCTTGGTATCTGTTCATTGTCTGGCTGGGGGCTGCTGCCGCCTCGGGTGTCACGGGTTGGCGGCCGAGGTGGTTTTCTTCGCCCGCGTTTGTTGTATCGTGGACAGGTGTTGGAGGTAGGGGGACCTCCGAGTTCGAGCTCGGCTTGGAAAGGTAGGCCACGGTGGACTCGAAGGAGCTGAGGCGGCGCGTGGGCGTGTTTGGAGGCGGGATGGGCTCGCTCTCGAGCTCGTTGTCGCTTCCGAAGACGGTGTCGGACTCGTGCTCCGAATGGTGGGGAGAGGATGGATCCATTGTCTCGCGGGTCGGTTGGAGGTCTGTCTGGCCTTGACTTTCTATCGCGTGCCGGCGGGCAAGAACAGAACTGGATTTGGAAAAGCGGTGGAATCGTGGGAGAAGTCTGTCGTGAAGAGAACAGGAATTTTTAGAAAGACTGCCGTAATTTGTACCATCAGGTAGAGCTGTCCTTTGGAAGGCGGGCGTGACAAACGCGCATGCTAGCAAACGTAACCACTTCATTGATGTTGTTCGGATTATATTTGGTGGGTCAGCGGAGCTGAGCCTGTGTCACCGTCGCGGAGCGGGCAAACACCAACGGTGATTACGTCGAGCGAGCCTGAATATAAGAAGGGTGTCAGTGTGTTTGTTTGAACGAGGATGAGTGTTCTAAGGTGTTTGTTTGGATCATTTATGGAGCAGAGTATGCGTCAAAGATTCACGGTTGTTCATGACGAGAACCCCTTTCACCAATTCAGCTTCAGTTGCAGGACTCCATTCACACCGCCATGTTGTCCGATTACGCATCCTGATTCATCCCATCTAGTAAGTCTTTGCCGTGCGCGTGGCATCCTAGATATCTGAGGGGTATATATGGTCGTTGTGGGTCTCCTTAGTACGGTATTGCATGGGATGAACGCCCGTGATGTTTCAAAATGCTGCAGAGTGGTGATTATCGGGGAGATGAGTCAGGACTCGTGAACTTTGACAATTGGTAAAAGTCCCTAGTAGTTAAAACGGTGGAATCTTTTCTTAGCTGTGGTACAAGGAATAATTAACACCGTAGCAAAAGCAAGCAACACCGACATGTCCACGGTACGATGCACATAGTTCATTCAGCTAGGTAGGGAACAAGTGCGAATATCTGTCGGGGGCGGGAAGGGTTGCAGACGACAGCCAAAAAATACTTGGAAGCTCCGCAAGAAACGAGGAATGAATCTTTGGGAGATTCGGATAATAGGAGAGCAAAAAAGTGCAAAAAAGAAAGAAATCAGATATCTGACGCCGGGAATTGAGCCCGACGTGGGGGTCGAACCCACAGCCTTGAGATTAAGAGTCTCACGCTCTACCGATTGAGCTAGCCGGGCTTGTTGGACAAGCCGATTCAATTGGTTGGCGATTGTTGAGTGGACCACCGGAGTTGGACCACAAATAGAGAGCCACGGTCGCTCCTTCCTCGACGTTTGCCACCCCTTTTGCCCCTTTCTTGCCTAGCCCCTAATAAGCTCAGAGTTCAGCCATCAACAACAACATGCGGATATTATTTGTCTCCTTGTTTCTTGACCGCATGATATACCGATTTATTCGTGCTGTTAAAGTAAAAAGCTAGTTCGGTTCTGCACAAATCTACCTGGTAGATAATCATTACATTGACTTGTTGCCTTTCACGCAGCCGTGCATCACGCTCATACATGTAATGAACACAAACACACAGGCACAGTACCTTTTCCATTTTTAACCATTCTTCACCACCCCCATCCGTGATGCCGCACACTCTTTTCACGTTGTCGACCCACCACACGCAGCCTTCCACAGTCCCTGGCAACCAACAACACAGAGAAACGAAAGAAAGTTTGCCCCCCTCCCCAAGACCCACCACACATCTCCACTTCCAACAAAAAGCCTTATCAACGACAAAAAAGGAAGTCGCGAAAAGAAGAGAAGATTCTGCAAGTGCTTACCCCACAAACCTCCACCCGTTAATGGATCCGCTGCACCCACAACCGGCAAAAATAAACATATAATTTTGATGAGAAGGGTGGGATTTGAACCCACGCCTCTTACGAGACCACGGATCATGTTTCCCCCGTGGGAGGAGGAATGAATTATCAAGGATAATCTCCTTAACGTGGCGCCTTAGACCGCTCGGCCACCTTCCCGGTTGTGTTGATGTGGTTGTGGTCTATTGTTTCTTGTCATGTGTGATGGGATGTGAGGCACGTCGAGCCGGGGAGATCCACCGCATCCACAACACACTTTCCTGTGGGTTTTGAGCCCCCTACTCCCTCCCCCCTCTTCCCACCCCGTCTCCGCTCTCCTGTCTCTCTTTCCTCTTATTTGGGTGAATGTCCATTAGATATAAGCACTTGCATCGCACATGACCACATGCCCTTCCATGGCGATTCACATAAGATCAGCTGTACAGTATGGCGCCCTGACAGGCCCAACACATAGGGAGGTAATCATGAACCACAACCCGACATCACATTCACAATGGCAAGCACGACGGGAGGCACAGCAGACATTCCGGGGGTATCAGTATAACATTATCGTCATCCCACCAACCAACCGACTCCGAGCGCAAAAGCGTACCATGCACGCACGCACGCACGCACGCACGCATGCATCTATGTTTGCCAACTCGAGCCAGAGTACATACAGCGCTCCAAATATGAAAACGTACATATACATCCACGAAGAGTTAATAATCCCATGAGATGGAACCCGTCGCTTATCTGTCTACCCGGAAGCGAAGAAAGGCGACGGTAGATTGAGAAGATAAAAAAAAGCCAAAAAGAAAGCTTGCTCGCCAAAAAAAGAAACCGTCGCTCAACTCTCATTCATCGGATGAAGAGAAACTGACCATAAAAAATCCCGCCTGTTGAAATGGCATCACGTCAACTCACGCGCATTAGTCTCAGCGGTACCCTCCATTACCCCAGTATCCCTCGCTGGCTCCATTGCTGTAGCCTCCGCCCTGGCCGTACCCGACCTGGTTCTGACTGTTCGGTGGGCTGCCGTACGCGGTGGTCTGGTGGCTGGGCTGCTGGTAGCCGCCGGTCGTGAAACTCCTCTGCGGCTGGGGCTGTGCGACCTGGGCCGGGCTGCCCACTCTCCCGTAGGCTGCTTGGCCGGGCAGTCCGGGCGAGGCGGTGCGCATCTGCGCGCTCGGGCTCGAGAAGCTGCGAGCAGGGGGTTGTTGGCTGAACTGCGAGGCGGGGCCGCCCATACCCGGCGCCGGGGCGCGGATGTTGGTCAGCTTGGGCGGCGGGGGCGAGCGGGTGCCGTCGTGCGCGTTGTAGACTGAGCTTGGCGCGGGGGAAGCGCGGTCGGAGTAGGGCGCGTTGGCGGCGGCGGGGCTGTTGATGCGCGGGGACTGCGCGCCGTCGCGGAGGAGCGGCATCGGGCTGCGCATGTTGCCGGCGGCCGCGGCACCACCAGCGCCGGCACCGAGCGCGGCGGCGGTTTCCCACTTCTCGTTCACGGGCGACGTGTTTCCGGTCGGCGTGATGCTGTAGCCGTCCTTGCCACTAAGGCCCTCGCGCGCCATCTCCTTGGCGTTGTACTCGGACGCCTCGTCGACGAAGCTGTCCGGGTCGACGCCGGCCTTGCGGAAGCGGTCGAGCTCCATGCGCTCCTCGTTGGCCCGGGCTTCAGCGAGCTTGGCCTCGCGGGCGCCGCGGCGGCGTTGGCGGATGCAGTAGAAGAGGGCCCAGAAGAAGAGGATGGCGGCGAAGCCCGAGGCGGATGCGTAGATGGCGATCTTGGCGGTGGGGCTGAGGGCGTTCCACTTGTCGGAGACGGAGGGCGCTGGCTGGGCGTTCATTTCGTCTTTGATGGTTGAGTTGCCGCTGTGAGAGGAAGGGTTAGTTCATGTTATTTGAAGGGAATGTGGGGGTGCAGTTGGGCTGGAGTGGGAAGCTTACGCGACGATCTTGATGCTCTCCCACGAGCCCGACTTGTCGCCATAGGTGTACTCCTTTCCGCTGCTGAAGTCGGCGATCTGGGCACTCTTGACGTGCATGGTGAAGGGGCCCTTGGAGTAGTCGGTGTCACCGCCAGCCCACTCGCGCGTTCCCGCTGCAAGTCTCGGGTCACCACCGGCCCAGATGCCAATGGAGAGACGCATGGGCGTCTGGGGATAGAAGCTCGTTCCATTTCTTACGGCATCCTGGGGCAGGAGCGTGCGCACAAGCTGGCCGTCGATGTAGAAGAGCAGGCTGTCCTTGGTCCACAGCGTTGTGTAATTGTGGTAATCATTTTGCACGCCGCCGGCGACGGTATGCTCCTTTCCGTTCTTGAAGTCGGGCTGTCCCTTGCCGAAGTAGTTGGTGGCGGCAATGTCCCCCTTGGTTCCCATAAACTCCCAGTCGATCTCGTCCAGATCGTCGCTCAGGAACATGACGGAGCTGATGATGCCCTGGCCGGTGGCAGCCTTCATATGGATCTCGGTGCGGCCGCCAAAGAAGTAGAACTTGGATCGAATGGTGGGTGAATCGCCTTGCTTGTTGATGGTGAAGGAGGCCCCGTTCGTGGCATCGTAGTTGACGGTCCCGACAGTCGTCTCCCAGGTGCTGGAAGTAGGGGTGGAGTTGAAGTGGAAGGTATGGTCCATGCCGAAAGCTGGATCGGCCGGGCAGTTGGTGACGTTCAAGGGCTGGCAGTCGGTGGTGACCTGGGCGGCCACATGCTGGATGAGGTCTGACGAGGCCAACAGCGCAATGGCCGAGGCGAGGAAGGATCGTGGCAGCAACATGTTGTATTGTCGATCGTGCAATGTGCGATGTCAAAAAATGGTCTGAAAAGAAGGGAATTTGGGCGCGGTGATCCAGTCAGTCGCAAACGGGGGTATAAAAATGAGTGGTCGGCGCTTGAGCAGACGCGCGAGAGGGATTGTTGGAGGTTCGGATGGGCTTTACAGCGGCATATCGAATCTCTTCGTGTCGGACGGACGGTGGGGATCTCGGTGCCTGCGAGATGGCTATCGTGTTGGTGGAAAGGGCAGGAAGTCAAGATCAATTGACGAGTCGGGAAGAAAACAACAGGAATTGACGCAGGACAAAACCGCGCGCACCGTGACGAAGAACAGCAATGCACTGGATGCCGATGGCAAAGAGAGGGAGAGGGAGAGGGAGCGTGTGCAAGCGCCTCGTTGGCTGTTGTGCAGATAAGATGGGCGGATGACTGGCAAAGACAAGAGACCCTTGCAATGGATGGGGATGGATGGACCTGAAGGAATGACGAGGATAGCAGTGTATCCGTAAAAAAAAAATGAGTGTAAGCTCGAGGGCGAGGGGTTTGCGTGCAGTGGATGCAGCGGCTAGGCTCAACCGTTTCGAGGGGGCGGCGATTCACGAGTGTGACGACGGAAGAGAGTCTTCACGATGTATTGGCCAAGGGCAGAGAGTCAAGAGGGAGGACGGAAATTGAGAGTCGGCGAAAAGGGGTCAGTCAGAGGCCCGAGGCCCCCTGCAGCAAATGCAGGAACAGAGGACGGCGCCCGGAAAGGGGACCTTGAATTCGGCCCAGAGCGGGATAGCCCGCAGCGAGCACGAGCCAATTTCCGGGGTCAAGCGTGAATCTGCGACACCGTCTGTTTCCAAACCTTTCCTGCTTGAGCTTAGCGCTAACCCATTGGACGAAACAGCTCGGCTTGGCAGGGAAGGTGCGCGACCGTTATTTCGAATTCATTGCTGCCGGGAAGGCAGTTGCGACGATCCGCCGACCTCGACGATCAATTTCCAGCACACTTCAACCAACCATGGAAGTCTTCACCCGATTGACGATAGGCTAAATTTGTCACCAGATTTCGCCCAGATATCGACGGTTATTTCTCCATTGTCCACCACGACCTGCCAAGTTCGTTTAGACACTGCCCCTCCTCGATTGCCCTTCTGAGGACGAACAGTGCACACCCTCCCGCGAGAACCTTGTCACTTTATTGTCAGACCTGCATTATCGGAACCCAGGGCAGGCAACCGAAAGCCAGCAAATTAATACACGCCACACTTCATCGTCGACAACCACATTGATGCTGGTGTCGCACTACAGCGACCGGGCCAGCGCTCTTTTCTGTCCCAGCAGTGGGGGCGCGTCTCGGCTCTTTCTGCCATGGCTCATTGAATGAAAATGCCGGCTTTTAGCGGTTCCCCACTACGAGCGACCAGAACTGACGGATGATGGCTGTATCAAATATTCTCCCCATTCTCCTCATCTACTTCGTCACTGTTGTCTGTCTTGAGACATGTTTGCACAATCTTGACGTACCACGCGCCTATTTGGCGTGCAAGTTCTCCCTGTCGGGCCGTTCCAAGCACCAAACGACGAGTTACATGAGGTGGAGGCAGCTTTGCTGATGTTGATACTCACTAGATTAAATATCTTAGGGATACAAAAGATCCGAGCCAATGGCTTTTTGACGCCGATCTCGAGCTAAACGACATCGATGGCAGAGTTGCCGTGCTTGCTTCTGAGTCTCGCGTTCGGGACGCCAGTGTGTTCCGGGTGCTGGTGTGGCGCTTCGTCTATCGATCCGCTTTGAAGGCCGTTGGTAATGCGTGGGAACGCCCATTCCTTCGTCTGTGGGCGCGCCGCTGTCAAGCCGACTGAGCGCAGAATCCCCGGGCAACACTCTGCCTTAGTCCGAGTCCATGTGAGCGGCATTCGCCCTGCCGCGTCGCGATAAGAACATGACCTCCCGAGGGATGTTCTCATGAACCTCATCCAGAGCCGTGGATATTGAAAACGGCCGAGGCCGGAGATCAGGCTAGGAGGCACCGGTTGCCGAGCTGGGTTTGGGAAGCTTTCCTTGGCCAGCGTCCTCGGTCAACATTCATGCGAAGGATCGAACGACTTCGCGCCGGGTGGTTTCCTTGTCCCTTGCACCAGTGCCGTGGCGGACGTCTTGAATGTGGCCTTCGCACGCATGACAGTGGTCGAGAATCTAACATCGTCGTATCCACGGATTAGTATGGCTGCGTGTTGATGAGAACAAGCTCTGAGAGGGTGAAGATACCGACCAGCTACACGCCTCGCAATTCGACGAGTCAGGCCGAGTCAAAACCCGCACAGCAAGAACCGTGCATGGTCAGGCTCCCAGCGGAGAACTGCGGCTGGCGCGCTCTGCAACACCCAAACGAGGCTTAGCTCATTTGCATGC